CGCCGCATCGAACACCCTATACCTCCTTCCAGGACCTAGTATCCCCCCCTGCTGACCTTGCTGCCTCATATCAGCAACAGCGCCAGCACTCCGTCCATAGTCGCCATTGCTCCTCGCAATTGTTCCCCCGTTGCTCACATCCTCACCCAGCTCCAATATTGCTGCCACATTGCCGCACCTGTAGCAATAATTCGGCGCAGACCAGACTGTCACAATGCCACCGTCGAACATCTCTTTGAACCCTTCCATGACGAGTTGATGTGCCCGCGCGATGAGCGAGAGGTCGTTTCTGTGGCTAAAATGCTTGACGATGTCACCTCCGAAGAGAAAGCCTGCTCCCCGTGGAGATAGACCCCAGCCTTCAATTTCGTCTGGATCGGACCAAAGAAGGTCGCACATGGCACCTTCGTGCGGCACTTCTTGTTTTCGGTCGATAAGGCGGATTTTATCGATGCTGTCCACCAGTGGGGACAGCCCGCCATGAACGCAAAAGACAGCACCGGTACTACTTCCAATACTGCCCATGCTATCAGCTGTGGCTCCGGTGCCTGCGGGGCCAGATCTCCTGGGGGTACCGGTGGGTCCCGACGAAGATGGGTCCCTGGAGGGGGACACATCCCGAATATCAGTTGAGCTATCTTGTGAGTCGCCGTCGCTACCGCCGCCCCTTCGTCTATATGTCGAAAATGTAACTTCGCCTTTTGAATTCAACACTTCAGACTCCAGCTCTTCATCCCCAGTAGCCGTGGTGGATTGGGTGTGATCGTTTATCACGGGGCCTGATGGTTCCAATTCAGAGCTGGCACCCAATACCAATGCGCCCAAAGCCAAATAATCAAATACCTCGCAACAATAACGCCAAACATTAGCACTGCCATATTTCCGAATACATTCGTCGTAAAAACCATAAACGGTCGTGATCTGCCTCGATTCGTGATTACCACGAATCAAGGTTATGCGGTCAGGGTATCGAACTTTGAGACAAAGGAGGAGAAGGAAAGATTCGAGAGAGTAAAAGCCGCGATCGACAAAATCGCCCATGAACAGATAATTCGTATCTGGCACATCACCGCCCACGCGGAATAATTCCATCAAATCATGAAACTGGCCGTGGATATCACCGCAGATGGTCACCGGCGCGTCGACGGAGACTACATTTCCCTCCTCGATGAGAATCTCGCGTGCTTTGTAGCAGAGTTCTCGCACTTCGTGTTCTGGGATAGGGCGGCAAGCGCGGAGCTGCGCGATAGCTCTAGACGCAAGAAATGGCTAGTCAGTAAAATGTTTTGATAGGTGGTGTTAGGAGACGGAGCTCCCTTCCACTGACTTGTCTAGATCACTCATGGTGAAACTTCCTCCGCGCACACAGAACGCACGCCCTAGCCACCCGCCTTCTCTTCTCCAACTAAACCGCTGGCGTTAAGAAGCGTACCAAGGGAGGCGGACCAGGTGGCGGAGGGCTTGCTGCAGTATCCAAGAAGCTGATGATCTAGCTTGGCGGGCGCGATGAGCTGACGGATCTGCGTGTTTAGGGCCACCGGGGAAACGAGCACTGGGTTATCTCAGTAGGACAATGAAGGTCATCTTCGTTAGAAAACTGTACTTGAGGGCGTTAATGAAGACTCTCGGGGAGGTGGTGTGTTTTTTGTCGTTCGGTCCCTCCCTCGTTGACAAAGGTTGTTTGAATGCGCTTGGGCTCCAAGAAGCGGAAGATCGCTAACTAAGCGCCCCACACGACAGTGTTATGTCAGCATGTCGCGCGGGTGTTGGCCTGTGCTCGACGCTCATCGAACTAGTAAGTATTGGTTATTTATTAAGAGCGTTTTATGGTAATGAGAAGTTCATTTCAATTGTTTAAAATCTAAAATATACATACTTACATATTAGAATACAAACTTCATAGAATTCCAATTTACCTGGAAGCGGCCACTTCTATTGGCCTGAGTTCAATTTACTCAGCTCATGCCAGCAACCACATCATACTAGCACTCCGTATCTGTCGTGTAATGCGCCGTAGCGCTCAATTCTGAGATCAAGTTCTCAATGCAATTATGAACACGAGTTTCACATCCAGGATGAATACTTTCAGTCCGGGTAGAATATCACTTTGTTGCTTGCAGATGACTCTACCGGGAATCAGAAGTGCGCACAAGGACGGTTGCGGAACGTCTTGCACGGTTTATACGGTGGGATGCCAGGGAAGACGAATTTTCGAAGAAATGAGAATGTCCACGGTGAAAATGTGGATATTATTTTCCTTATCACCGGCATGGGTCAACCCTGCATGCATGGGTCTAAATATAGATATTATTAGACTAAAGAACTATCAATTGCGAATCATACCAGGAAAGGTAGAACATGTATCTCCCTCCATGTGCCATGTCAGCCGCAGAGCAGTCCGTTGTTGATGGGGCCACAACTATTAGAAGTGCTACAATATATGGGTCCTGTTGAGGATCTGAGGGAGTGACTATCTTTAACTTGAGTTTGAGTAGGGTACTGGTGGGCTTGCTATACCGCCATTTTGATGGGATGTCTTCTCACGACGTAGTCCGTGTATAACTAATAAATGCAGCGCCCGCATGGCTAAACGAATCTCCCTGAAGAAAGTACGAAGTTTGGCAACACAGCGTTCATCGAAGCAAAACCCAGGACTTTGAATCAAAAGGAGAGTAGGAGAACAACAGCACAACAGGGCTGCAAATGGACATTCGGGAGCTGAAAGATCCCTATGAATAATGTACTCCCGCCCTGGATAATTTCTAAGGTCAAAAAGTCGTTAATTACTAAAAGCATCCAATTGTGCTATTAGGCATTCCAAACGTGGTGCTTCGAAAGAGCATCATAATAGCTCAACATTACGGTTTGTCCACAACAGAGGGTGAATGATCAGCTGTTCTCGACAGGAGAGTAGAGCAAGTTGATTGATAGAAAAGACTGCAGTGTCTGCGACTGAGGTAGAACCATTGGAAGGCCGCCGAAGCCGAAACATCTACAGCACATTCATTCTTGCACTGTTCGCTAACAGGGTCATGAATAAGCGCGTCCAGCATCCGGCATATTGGGACGGTCTTCACTATCTTCCTCCACACCTGCGTCCTATATACATAGAATGCGTAGATATCGAGGAATACAGCTTTTTCCATCTGGTTTGCTTCAAAATAACATGAGGTGAGATCAGAGATAAGATAAGATTAGATCAACCACAGAAGCGACTCGCTTGGGGATCAGGTACAGTACAATAAAAAACCAGCCAAACATGTTCAACTACCAAAAAAGCTTCCGTCCTGCTCTCTCGCGTCGCTGTGCCTAGGTATATCTTAGATACTGACCAAGGCAAGATAGACATATAAACTCTAAATCACGTATCTAACGAGATTTTTTGCAAACTACAAGTGTTTCTAAAGAGGTATTGGAGTGGAGCAGGAGAGAGATCCGGGTTGATATTGCAAGGTTTATCTCTCCAGAGGAAGTTAATCTGCAACCAGAGACTGGGAACCGCGCACAGATATCCATGGAAATAATCTTTGGCTGGGGTCCTGCCACTTGTCTGTTCATTTCGAGAACGATCTCCAGCCCCGGGAGAGGTTCCTCGGCCAAGTCCGCCAAGTCTTTAACCACGTGAGAAAATAATCTGCGTGGTTTGATTGGCCATCGACATGACATAATTCCCGGCCGCCAGATCCCGCTCACACACTTTTCGGGATTGCTGATATTAGGCGCAAAAGAGGGCTACCAGTGTCCGATCGCGCCATTGAACAGTATGCCGATCTAAGAAATCCCGTCCGGACAGCCTAATGGATTTAAAGGTATGCAAGCCATTGTCCCTTTCAACATTGGGTCCCAACCCGCAGCCACTAACATTCTAAGTGCGCATCTTCCAGGGATAACAGAAAACGAACAAAAGAAAGGCATTTCGTACTAGCTGGGCTCCTCTCACGTCCCTCCCTCCCCACGGCCCCATGACGTCTACGCCCCTTTTGACATTACAATAACAAGGACGAAGTAACCTATTGGGCAAATTCCCTTTCCAACAATGCCTCCTCATCTCCATCCGCGGTCACGCTCGACCGTCTCCCTCTTCACACTTACCCTCATGTCGTCTCTCGTCATTGTGGGCATACCACATCTCTTCCCCTGCCCCGTGCCACGACACGCATACGCCGACTCCGAAATGATCATGTCCGCCGATGGACAGCAGAAGATGGTACGGAAACGAAGAAGAAAGCCTGTTGAAGCCCAGCCGGCCGGTGAAAGTGATGTGAATTCAACTATGATAAATACCACCCCACCTCGCACGATGAAGCCGGGGTATTCGTCACGACGCCAACAAGAGGGACTTTTAGATGATGACATTGTGAAATTCCGGCAGATGGAAGAGGAGGCAAGGAATTTACAGAATGTTAAGAGGGAATGCCCCGTGCCGAAGCCCGGGGGTATGGTTGGGGAGCTGCTGGGTTTTAAGAATCAAGATCAGGGGAGAGGGAGAGATGGGATCCCAAGAGCGGACATTCCGGGGCGGGGGAACGGGTCTTGAATATTTGATTTATTAAAAAAAAAATTCATTGCAGGCAGGAGGAAGGATACTGTAACATATAGACATCGCGATATGCGGGATTGCATGTGGACCCTTGGATATGTCTTTATATGGCTTTGTTGGGCTTATTCTCTGCTCGTGTCTTTATTTATTTCGACCTTGAAATGGTGAATGGGTAAACATGGATTGTATAGTTAAACATTTACATTGTATATTAATATTGCATTTACTGGGGACTGGAAGCCATGCAAGAACTCGAAAAGGCACGGTATTTTTTCCCCACTCTCTCACTCATCAGTGATTCTTCATCTCTAACCAAGCCCGCCCTACTGGTGATTTTTATATACTTAGACATTGCCTCCACCAATCTGCATCGACCCTAGCTTCTATTTTTAGAGTTCCCAACCAAAACTTGAAAATTTTGTGAACCGGTGTCCAATATCTGAATCTCCGAAGGATGGTCAAGCTTTCTCTTCGGGCGCACACGAAGAAGGGGGTGAGTTTCAGAGTTGAAGATGTCCAATTTCATTGGTGGTTTGTATGCCGAGTTCACCTGGGCAGACTTTGGCTTGCCGGAAACTGAGTCAAATGGCTGGGTTTGTTTTGGAGGAGACGTCATCAACACAGTCCGCTAAATAAGGCGGGAAGCCTTGTAGACAAAGCTATTGGGAGGTTTGTGTGCTCTTGTTCGCGCAGGATCTGGGATGGGGCATGAATTTCAACGCCAGCTACCGGTTAGCGCATCTAGCGGAAATGACCACGCTCGTAAGATGACGAAGCCTAAATAAGCTTCCATTCATGCTCTCGACTTTGAAATACGACGGAGCGCACAGTACGCCAGATGAAAAGAGGAATCAATCAACGGGTCCACTTGATAGGTGACGAATCGATCTTGGTTTCCAATGCTGGATTTGGGATATCCTCGCAACAATTGGCAATTGGCGCCATCATGAGGGGGAGAAATGATCTCTCCATCGGCCAGAGTGCGCCCGAGACAAAATCTGAGGCCGAGACCTGAGGCTTGTTGCTGCCGGGTTGCTTGGGGGCTGTGCCATCTTCACCATCCCAGTCTGGATGAAAAACTGTCAAGGCCTTATTCTAACTTAGTCATTTAGGCGCTCGAATAAGCATAAATAAATCTATGCCTGCTCCCGACTCGCGCTCCGCGTGGAAAATTCAACTCTCATTACAAACCAAGAGTGAAGTTTGTTTTGCGCTGGATGCAAATGAGACTAGCTAAATATCCAGTCCCACCTCAGTTCGTACAAATAAAGCGGCCAAGCCTGTAGCTCTTTCGCAGCTCATAAGCCTTATTCTTGTACCTGAGTCGTTGTCCACGACCGACAGCAACCTTTGGGATTCACCGAATGTGCAATTGAAACGTAATTGTGCACTTTTCCCAGGAAAAGTCTACAAAACCGTTACACCCTTGAGATAGCAGCTTGAAAGCAGCCTGCGCTGCTTTGTCCAGCCGTCAGCCTCGTCTTGTTCGCTGAACTCAATTGATATCTCTCGAAATAATGTATCAAATCCCACGGAAACCGGTGTTGTCTGCGACACAAGCCTCCCCAACAACTTCAATTTCACCAATTGCTCCCCCCGAGAGTAATGAAGGTGACTCCTCAATCCACAGGCAATATTCAAGGTAGGCACTGAAAATGATTCCCGCCCTTTCCAGTGCCATTGTTAAAAGGTTGACTCTCGATATCTAGCGAAAACAGCAGCATCCAACCACATACCCCCGCACAAGCAGAGCTGTTCTCGACCCTTGAAGTCCCGACCAATGGACCAGAAATCGCCTCAGGCTTTCCATATAACCAACGACTCTTCCAGTTGCATGTCAGCCCAGACGAATGGACGCAGTTCTGCGACGAGCTGGCGTACGCAGTGAGGCTTACACTTCTAGAAAAATGTGCTGTCTGGTCAGTGGGTGTTGGAGTTGGGATAGTCGCCACAGGTGCATTGGCTATCCTTGGGCCAATCCCCGCATACTATGCTGGAAAGAGCGTCAAAAAGAGTCGCGTGGCGAAGAAAGTGAGACGGAGTCAAAAGGGAAAAGGAGATCTTGAAGTAACACTGAACACCTGGAACGAGAATGTATTTCGAGACAAGGGCATCAGAATATGGCTCCGTTTACCTAGGCGCAAACAGGAGAAGCTGGAGCACAAGATGGAAAAGAGGGAAGGAAAAAAAATGAACAAAGAAGACGGCGACGACATCGGTGACGACGTTAACGGCAGCACACCTTCACTCTCCTCCAGAAGCAACCCTCACGCCGACTGCAGCCCCCTCAGCCGGTCATCTAACTCGAAACTAGGCTTCAAAGTTGAGCCGAAGGAATCGATGGCTGCAAGGAACAAGCGAGAGAAGCTGGAGGCGAAACGGTTGGAAACACATTATACATTAATGGTGGAGGATATCAGAAAACCTATTGGCGAAGAAGAATTACTTCAGATTGGTGTTATAGAAGTCGAAGAGCCTGAAAGTGCCCGCTCCTCAGCTTCATCTCCAGTATCTTCTCGAGGGGATCCACCCGACTATGACTCTACTACGGATAGTCGCGGCTCAGTAGCAGAGCTAGAAGAAACATGTCTTCCTACGGGAGTCGTGCTACCCTCCCGAGGTGTCTATGAGCTTGCATCGTGAGCACTAAGGCCGAGCGTTTCTTTGCTTTATGACAGGGGAGTTTAGGAACCATGATACCATTGTCTTCTTCTTTTTTCTTTTTCTTTTTTTCTTTTTATAATGAAACGGACGTATTTGGGCAAAACATGAATGATATTCCCCCAACTCTTCTCCATTTCTCTTCTTTCTAATTCTCTTTTCTCTCGGTTTATTTTCCACACGCTATCCAATGGGCTTCTATGCCGGCGAATAGTATTAAGTTGGCTCCTATTGTCGAGTTCCTGGAGAGTTTCTACATCAAGTATTCTCCTTGCCCTTTAATGTAAGCAATGAAAATTCATAATTATAATCTTCGAGAAATAGATAAATAAATTAAGTTTCTGTTCATTACTCCCAGTAGGTGTGCAAAGTAGCTGGGAGCATGAGCACCATAGCATAGCGGGATGCCTGCGCTAAATATTTGGCTGAGTAATCTGTCATGCTGCCAACGTGAAACGCGGCGCCCGATGAAGCTGCGGTGATTCCCGAAATATGACAGGTTAGAACGAAAGAGTTGGAAAGATAGTAGAGAGAATTCGCGGCAAGGAGAAATGCTGAGTGTTGAATTTATTTTCCCGACAGGAGCTCAACACGCCCACACCGAAACATGAACATCTATGAACGCGCCGTCGACCTTGCTACGAATCCAAAATACTCAAAATGGATCTGGCCATTGCTTCTGCTCGCAGAGGTTTTCCTCTGCACAGTCATTGTTTGGAAAGTCCCGTGTATGTATCAAAAACGCATAAATGGAGCATGCGGTTAGGAACGACAGCTTACCTCTTTTTCCCATCGCAACAGACACGGAGATAGACTGGTCAACGTACATGCAACAGGTATCACTATTTTTGTCCGGTGAACGAGATTACGCCCTCATTAAGGGTTCCACGGGACCGCTTGTCTACCCTGCCGTACACGTCTACATCTACTCGGCCCTCTATCACATCTGCGACGATGGCAGGGACATCGCCTTTGCACAGGTCATATTTGCGATTCTATATCTCGCGACGTTGGTGATTGTGATGTGGAGCTATCGCTCTGCAGGGGCGCCGCCATATCTATTGCCTCTGCTTGTGTTATCGAAGAGACTTCATAGTATATTCCTTTTACGGCTATTCAACGATGCAGTTGCGACCTTTTTCCTGTGGGCGGCTATTTTGATGCTACAGAGGAGACAGTGGGCTGTGGGCGTTGTATTGTGGTCAATGGGTGTAGGGGTTAAAATGACCGTGCTACTTGTCGCACCAGCTATTGCAGTGATTGTGGTGCTGGGTGCTGGTATCATTAAAGCTGCTGGCTCTGGTGTAACGGCGTTGTTACTACAGGTATGTTTCCCAACTTACGGCTGGAAGTTACCCATACGAAGGCTACTTTAACTACCCATTGAAAGAGGCTATTGCGGATGCGACAAGTCTCCATTTTTTGCGACTAACAAGAGCTATATATAGGTGCTTTTTGCAGTCCCGTTTCTTCAAGACCATCCCAGCAGCTATATATCAAGAGCGTTCGAATTCACGCGGCAATTCCTTTTCACGTGGACGGTAAACTGGCGATTCGTTGGTGAAGATGTCTTTCTCTCCAAATCCTTTGCACTTGCACTGCTGGTTGTGCATGCATCGATACTTGGGGCATTTTTCGTATTTCGTTGGATTGCCCCATCAAACACGAGTTTAACACAGTTTATCAACAACATTGCCCGTGGAAAACAGTCGCCAACCCAAATCACAAGCTCCTTCATTGCCACGACCATGTTAACCTCTCTTGCGATAGGGCTCCTCTGCGCCCGCAGCTTGCACTATCAGTTTTTCGCTTATCTTTCGTGGGCAACGCCTTTCCTTCTCTGGAAATCTGGATTCCACCCGTTGCTTATTTACTTGCTTTGGACCGCGCAAGAATGGGCTTGGAACGTCTATCCAAGCACAACTATAAGCTCGATCACTATTGTCGCGTGCCTTGCAATACAGGTTCTTGGGTCATTTTTGAATGGGTTCGAGCGCGTGCCAAAAAGAACACAAGGATTAAAAGGTGGCCTGGCTATGAGTAGACGATGAGATGGTGACGGACCGGTCGATGTATGCGATTAACCTTCACGATCCAAAAATCCTCCTGTGCGGTAGTCCTCCAACCCAAAATGGCCTACACAGCTTTGATCAGGGTTACGAGACAAAAGCTCTATCGCCCTGGAAATCATGCGGACTGGAATACCACTAGTCCTGATCATCATCATCATCATCTGAAGGCGGCAACTTGCCCGTAATTGAATCTTCATCATCCTCCCTCGAGGGCTTTGCAAATTCCTTTGGCCTGAACAATACGATCAGCGAGAGCACACATTATTGGCATGCGTGAAAAGATGGGATAACAAACCAATAAGACGCTTTCCGCCATGCCTTTTCATCTCTGACAATGTTTATGATTTCCCCAGACAATTTGTTCCCCCTCTCCTCAAGCGCATCCATGTCGACAAGCACATAGGAGCCCCGCTTGACCCAGATCGTCGAACGAAATTTTGCCGCCAGCTCTACTAATATGCTCTCTTTAGAGGGTAGCTCTACAGAGTAGATATTATTTCCCGTGGCCCTGACCACTTTGGCGATTTTCTGACTATCCGTCAATGAATCCGGTGCAACTAAAGTTTCCTCTACTGTCGCTAGTAGTTTTCTTCTTGGAGGGGCCATCTCGAAATGACTTTTTCCACGTAAAGGAGTTTCTTTGGATTGCAAGTTATTGTTACGCTGCGCTGTTGGTTTCGCTAGATTGCGGTTGATGTTTGTTTTGAATGTGGTCTGCAAATTTATGCTGCTCATGGAAACGTTGGAGGGGTGGTCAAGTTGTGTATCACGTGATCTTTGAATCCGGCCACCGTGCCGAGGATTTATCTCAGCATGCTCAGCCTCTCTTCTCAATATTTTCAGATTAGCATGACCAACTAAACTCCTTTAGACTTCTATCAAGTCCTGCTAACTTCTGGATCAATAAGAGACTTCACATGTGCTCACAATCTAATATCTTATAGAGAGTCTAAGAAGAAATAGTTTTATTATATATGAAAAATTAACTTCACTTATATAAAATATTTAATTAATTTTAAAATTATATATCTATTTTAAATATCTATCTGATCATTATTAAATTAATATTTTTTAAATTCTCAGTTATTCTGCTATTATCTCTGCTATTTTATAACTCACTATCTCTTCTTATTATATTATAATTATTGATAAAAGACAGTGTGTCTTTTAAATCTCAAGATATCTAATATCAGATATACTTTAGTTAATATTCTTTATTACTTAAAGATAAATTCTCTCTATAATTACTACAGTCTCTCAATAATATAGATAATGAATATAATATATCAGATAATAACTTAACAGAGCTTGAATTTATTAATACTTCTTTAAAATTTAAGATTACTGATACTAATACTAATACTCTATAAGTTTATTTATAATTAAACTACTGTGACTTATAATATCTATCTACAATGTCTTATAATTAATAGAAAAGATAATTAAAATTATCTTATATTATCAGAATATTACAGTAAAATAGTTAAGAAATAAAGATTTTTATAGAGACTTAAATTCAGAGTTCTGATATCTTAACTTATTAATAATACAGTACTTCTACAAAGCAGTGAAATATACTATATTCAGTACTTTTTAAAATAGAAATATTCAATAATAATTAATATTATACTGTTTTATTTAAATAGAAGCTGAAATATCTTATTAATACTCTTTTCTTTATAAAATTCAATTATAATTCTAATCTGAATATTATTAACTTTCAGACTGTTTTCTTTAATAATGATTTTTAAAGCTGCTGTTATAGCTGACTTATATATTTTCTTTAATTCTTCTTGATTATATTTAATACAGTTAATGAGATATTATTTAACTCAGTTATTAAAAAGTAACTCAGCTGTTAAAAAGAAGTATTATATAATTAATTCAGAAGTTATTAAAAGATCTTAGAAGTTATTAGAAGTTATTATAAGTTAATATACTATATAAGATTATTAAGAGATCAGAAGTTATTAGAAGTTATTAGAAATTATTAAAAAATATACTTAGTATTTTAACTATAGTCTCTGATAACTGAATAAATATTTTAATAGTAAGATTAAGATATTAAATAACTAGATATAATTATAATTAAAAAATTAGTAAATCATTTCTATATTTAAAATCATAGTAGTAGTTTTCAATATAATACTTTATACTTAGAATATATATATTTTCAGATAAAAATTACATCAATTAATAGAAAATTGAAAAAATTAATTCTTTAAAATAATAGAGAAATAATCTATAAGTGATATTACACAGTGATTCTATCTTAAATATTATAATTAAAGTAAATTATTTCTATATTACTAATAAATAGAAACTGTTTTTTCTCAGATACTCTGTGAAGAGTTTGCTGAGAATGTCTTATTTAGGTTTAGTATAAGCTCTGTGACAGTTGATTGACTCAGATGTTAGCAGGACTTGGCAGAAAGTAGCAGTAGTTCGGATTGAGTTAGCTCGGAGTGGAGTGGCTGAGTTTACTGAGATAACCGAGGATCGAGTCCCGCCCTCCGTCTTGAGGCAACGGACATGACATACGGAGTACATCCGTTCTATCATGCCTTAAGCTTTGGTTATAGCTTACGATGCTGCGGGAATTTCCAACGCATCTGTCGGGATGAGCTGATCACGTACCGGGCCCCCAATACCCATTACGCACGGAGATAGAAGTTCGAAGCACCTTTCCAACTCACCACAAGTTCGAACACGGCCTTGTACATGGAATGCGCACCTCCTCTTCTCCAGCTTCGGGGAGAAGAACCGCATTAATGTGAGGTGACGATAATAAGTGTGATGCCTTTAAAGGAAAGTGTGCTTTCTTATGCGTGACGGTGTAATTGTGACCCGCGCAGTAACTAAGTCAACCCGCCTGTCATGATGACCTAGATCAGGATTTTATCCTCTCCACGGTGAAGTCTAGATTCCATGTATATTTTCAAATGTTTCGAGTCATATGTACCCGAAGAACTTGTATAATAGCTATAATACCTTTGTATATCAACTTTGGAGGAAAGAAAGAGAGTAGTATTGTGGTCATAGAGCTGCAAGTATGTAAGCTATGCCTGGGAACGCAAGAGGGATTTGTTAGAGGAGCAAGGATGCATCTCTCCCCGATCCTCAAAACGTGCAATCGCCGATTGCCCTAGAAGCAAGAGAGAATCAAGCAAGAATGATGACTGCAATATCTCACTCTGGACCCCATCAACCAGGGCTGTTCACGCGGTCTCGCCTCACAAAGCTGCTGGCCAATAATCGCCCCAGAAGAATGTGTCGGGGAATCTGCGGGTTTGTCCTTGGGTTTTTCCCTCTGTCTATAGCCTCAAAGTTTGTAGAGCGCCGATTTTCTCGAACAACTAAAGAAAAAACCTGTAGTTTTCTTTGCTCCGAGAACAACAGTTGTGCTGCGGCATATCCCATTGCTGGAGGCGGACAAAGCATGATGTGCACATTGTGAGCTTGTTGTGCAAGGAAAAAGGCGTCAAACTAATTCCTCCCACAGGGCATTGAAGGCCTTTTTTTTTTTTTTTTTTTTTTTTTTTTTTTTTTTTTTTTGGAGAGAAAACGGCAAAGTAGTATAAAAACTTTTTGTGACAAACAATACACTTTTTTCTCCTCGGGAGGCTGCCAACCTTCCTGCTGTTGTTAAAGTCAATCTCAGTGTCTGGCATAAAATATTTAAAAAGAGATAAGGGCATATTAAGAGGTTGAAAGTACTCATCCCAAGCGCCTTGCAAGAATTTAACCCTTTTCCCTATTTCCTGTTGTTCTTGTTAAATCCGAATGCCTGTTGGTTCGCGCACAGCGCGCCAGGGGAGTCCAAGAGATAAATAGTTAGCCACAAGAGGAGAGAATGCTTAAAGAAAAGAAGAAAGACACATGTACGCAGCGTAAAAATTGTGCACAGAAGTAAGTGTCCGCATAGTTCCAATTCAGTAGCCAACCGAAGCACCATTTGTTGTTAAGTGAGGAAGTCCTGCGCAGGGATCGCGGATAGATGGGACATTGTTTTTTCTTTCTTTCTCTCCCCGTCTCTTCCCCCCACTGCGGCTCATTTTCCCCTCTCCACACTCAGTCACCACCGCCACCATCAACCACCGCCACCACTACCACCACCATATCCATCGCTCCTCTTCCACTCTATCCCATTCCCCCGCCAGCTCATCCTCACCACACACGGGCACACGAGCGCAGAATCAAGGATTGTCTAGCATTCGTTTTCTCCGCATCCTCAATCCTATCCTCTGCTCACCTGGCCACCAGTTTTGACACGGCTGAAACTCGCCACAAACGTACACTACCTCCATAGACTTTATTCAGCTCCTTCATGCTCTTTCGACTGAGTGATACATAGTTATGTTCTTTCTTCTTTCACATTTGCTAAGATAACTGTTTCGAAAGCGAACCCGTCCGCTCTCTTTGTTGCAAGGGTCTCCTCACTCTAACTCTCCCACCAACAGCGCAGACGAGACCGGAAAAAGAACTCTATATATTATTTCAATCTACTTCAATCCACCCTTCCTTCGCCTTTGCCTGGGCGACAGTCCGTTACTCCACGATTCCCGTACCCTACGCAAGGAAGAAGAAACTAGCCCGCAAAAATGGACGGGGACGATGAACTCATGGCCACGGTCTACAAAAAGATCGAGCGGGAAAAGGCCCTCATTACCGCTGCCACCAACATGCGACAATCAACAGATAACCCCCTCGTGCAACAACGAGTTGACGCAAATATCCGCGACAGTCGCAAGAATATCGTCTACCTGGAAGAAAAGATGCGGGAACTCCAGATTCGCAAAATGGGCCGTGATGGCGGCCAGTCCCCCGAGCAGCCTGGCTCTCCAGCAAGTCCTCGCGGCGCTTCCCGTGGCTATGGCGGTGGCCCACCGCCTCCTCCAAAAGATGATGGTGGTCGTTATACCCCAAATGATAGGGGTGATTATGGAGATGTCGGCCCACGGGGATACAGCCAAGGTGGAACTGGAGCTATGCCACCCCGTGCTCCATATGGTGACCCCAGGCCTGATACCGGCGTACCAAAAGCACGACCAAATTTTAGCAAACTAGGCAAGTTGCCACATTACGTCCCTAACTACGGATCCATCGGATTTATCCTATTATAAGTTTCGCTAACTTAACTTGCTCCCGGGTACCAGATTTGATTAAATACGACACGCCATATCTTGGACCGAAAATTCAACTCATGTTATCGCAGTTAGAATTCAAACTAAGTGTTGAGAAGCAGTACAAAGATGGCATTGAGAAGATGGTGCGATTATATCAAGATGAGGGAGACCGGAAGAGCAGAGCGGATGCCGAGGGTCGACGAATCGAGAGCATCCAAAAAATCAGGCTCCTAAAGCAGGCCCTGAAAAGATATGAGGATCTACACGTTGACATCGAATCCTCTGCGGATCATCCCGACGGTTGGTTTTCACCTAAACTGGTTTATTCCATCATTCTCCCCTTTCGTTCACTGGGTGGCTAATCTAGATGCGTTTTAGATGAGAGTCTGAATTCGCCTAATATCAGAAAGCCCCTTACCGGCCATTTAACGATGCGCATCCACGCAGTGAAAGACGTTGATCACGCAGCAAGCTCTCGGTTTTCACGAGGCCCTGAAACATTCGTTATCATGAAAGTGGAAGATGCGATTAAGGCAAAAACTAGAGCCACTAGGAGTGATAAATGGACTGAGGAAACTTTCAACGTGGATATCGACAAAGCCAACGAGATCGAACTTACAGTTTACGACAAAGCTGGAGATCGACCAACTCCAATCGGAATGCTTTGGATCCGAATATCCGACATTTCCGAAGAGATGCGACGGAAAAAGATTGAATCAGAGTTCAATGCGTCCGGATGGGTGTCCGCTGATAAAATGGAACACGGAGGGGCAGGTGGGATTAGACCTGATGCCCAGTTCCATGGCGTTCCTCAACCCTCTTTTGGTGGGGGATCACAAGCAGAGCCCAATCCTCAAATAAATCAGAATGCAACCGTTATGATTGATTCATGGTTCGCTCTAGAGCCTGTCGGGAGAATACATCTCACGATGAGCTTTGGTAAGTTTCCGGGAGGCACTTTTGACCACATATTGCTAACCAGTGTATAGCAAAACAATTGAAAGATCGACGGCCGTTTGATATCGGTCTCAATCGGCAGGGTGCCGTTCGTCAGAAGAAGGAAGAGGTTCACGAGAAGCAGGGACATAAATTCGTTACACAGCAGTTCTATAACATTATGCGCTGCGCTCTCTGTGGAGATTTCTTGAAGTATGCTGCAGGCATGCAGTGCTCAGATTGCAAGTACACCTGTCACAAAAAATGTTACCCAAAAGTCGTCACCAAGTGTATCAGCAAAGCGAATTACGAGACCGATCCAGACGATGAGAAAATCAATCATCGTATTCCACATCGGTTCGAGGGATATTCGAACATTTCTGCCAGTTGGTGTTGCCATTGTGGCTACCTGTTACCATTCGGGCGGAAGAATGCCAAAAAATGCTCAGGTATTACGAAGCTTTCGCAATAATTTGTGCTGTTTTGCCTATTCTATAATTGCTAACATCTTCACTAGAATGCAGTCTTACGTGCCATGCGCAGTGCGCACATCTCGTCCCGGACTTTTGTGGGATGTCTATGGAAGTTGCCAACCAAATTTTGGAGACTCTCATCAAAACCAAAAATCATAATAAATCTGCGTCAGTGGGAGGTACAGGAATAAGTAGCCGTACTTTACGTCCTCCTGGCCGGCCACAACCAGCGGCCGAGAGCGGACAGCAACCGCAAGATGTGGCATATGGGCAGCCCCCGAAACCCGCTTCCGCGGAGGCAGTTAGTGCGGCTCATGGTTCCTACACTCCTCAGTCACCAGTCGCGTCACCCAGACAGAGTCATCCTCCCCGTGGCTCCTCGAACGCGGCCGCAGCCGCTGCTGCTGCAGCTGCAACGGGCATGCGTCCATCTTCGCAACTGGGACCTCCCGCCCCCTACGACAGGATCCCGGATTACTCTGGTAATAGACCAGCCGACAGGTATCCAATTGATTCTCGCAGCGATGCAGATGCAGCCCGTCAGCCTCAACAGCAGCAGCAGCCGCCGTCACATACTCCCTATGATCCTAGTGCCTATGCGAGCATAAACACATACGGCCAGGCACCACAACTCCCCACTCTACAGGCCGCCCAACCTCCCGGTCCCTATGGCCACGCCCAGCACACACCACTTACGTCGCAGCCCCCCATGTCGACACTCCCTATGAAGGAACCCCAGTCAGGGCCAGTCGCCACCCAGCAACCGCCACAACAACCGAAGCCCAAAGTTGGTCTGGATCATTTCAACTTCCTCGCAGTTCTTGGAAAGGGAAACTTCGGCAAAGTTATGCTTGCCGAGACGAAGGCTTCCAAGAAACTATACGCTATTAAAGTCCTGAAGAAGGAATTCATTATTGAGAATGATGAAGTGGAGAGTACGAAGTCTGAAAAACGGGTGTTCCTGATTGCTAATAAGGAACGGCATCCGTTCTTGCTCAATCTTCACGCATGCTTCCAGACAGAAACTCGTGTCTATTTCGTCATGGAATATATTTCTGGTGGTGATCTCATGCTCCATATTCAACGTGGCCAGTTCGGCTTGAAGCGCGCACAGTAAGTCTCTCTGATATTTCCATGTAGTCAAAATAAACCTAGACGGTGCTGATATTATTATCCTAGGTTCTATGCTGCGGAGGTCTGTTTGGCGCTAAAATATTTCCACGAGAATGGCGTGATCTATCGTGATTTGAAACTCGATAATATTCTGCTAACGCTAGATGGCCACATCAAAATTGCTGATTATGGCTTATGTAAGGAGGAAATGTGGTATGGATGTACTACCAGTACGTTCTGTGGTACCCCAGAATTCATGGCACCAGAAGTACGACTCCCCGTTGGCAGCTTGCATGTAATGAGTTTATACTAACATGATGTGTAGATTCTCTTGGACAAAAAGTACGGCCGCGCAGTTGATTGGTGGGCATTTGGCGTCCTGATTTACCAGATGCTTCTTCAACAATCCCCTTTCCGCGGCGAAGACGAGGACGAAATATACGATGCAATTTTAGCGGATGAACCTCTGTATCCAATCCATATGCCCCGCGATTCTGTATCGATTTTACAAAAGCTCTTGACTCGAGAACCGGAAATGCGACTTGGATCTGGCCCAACGGATGCACAAGAGATTATGTCGCATGCATTCTTCCGGAACATTAACTGGGATGATGTATACCATAAGCGCGTACCTCCGCCATTCTGCCCGACTATCTCTAACCCGACGGATACAAGTAACTTCGACCAAGAATTTACAAGCGTCACTCCCGTGTTGACTCCCGTGCAATCAGGTAGGTCTAGGATATTCCATTCGATAACAAACTCCCTTAAGATTATATATGCTGACGATTTTAATAGTCCTCTCCCAAGCGATGCAGGAGGAATTCCGCGGTTTCTCATATTTTGCCGATTTTGTTTGATTGATTAGCTCCAGAGCCTAAAATAAATTGATCACGATCCTCTTTATCGGGGCTTCTAGACGCTCTCTATCATCTCCTATATTTTGGTCTCATGCTTCTTCTCTTGCTTCCCCTTTCTTCTTTTTCTTCAAGGTCTTTTTTGAAATGAGGATGACTGATCCTTTTACCACCACATCTCTGATCAAAACTTAACTTTCGTCTCTCCAACCAATGATAGACGCTCCATTTAAACGAAAACCACTTCTCCTGGTTCGAAACAAGAAAGTATGTACCTGCATATATACATCCCGCCGGTGGAGAGAAGAGCTGGACTCCAGACCAAGAACACTGCCGGACTTGTTCGAGTTAACCAAAATGTCATATTTCTGGGGTAGGTGGCGATATACAAGCTTCTTTTTAATAACAAGATTGCCTTTTTAAGAAAAAGAACGAATAAAACAGATTTATGGTAGCGAGATAATGTGGTGGTGGAGGACTTTTCTTAGGCCTATTTTTTTTCCCCGCTTTTTGCCTTCCTTTTTGTGCTTCTAGTCTTCTTTTTATCTCTCCATCTTCTCAAAATCACCCTCTCACTTAATCATTATTTATTCTGTTTTGTTCTACACCTATACCTTTATTATTATTAGTTCATATAACTGTTTTCCTCCTTTCGCTTTCCTCCTTTTGTTCGTCTTTGGTTTCCCTACTTCCAAATGGGATGGGGGTGTGGGTGGTGTAGGATGGCCAGACAAGGGCTTGGATTTTCATTGTTCAGCTGTAGTATCTAGACAATGGATATCTATTCCTTGGTCGCGACCTGCTGCGAAGTGATTGCATCCAAGGATACGGGTAGGGAAGGGAAGGGAGGACAAAACGAAGTAGTTACTAGCCCTATTTTGCTTCTCTCTCTTTAAGTTGCCCTTGTTATGTAGTCGTTTGAATTATACCCCTCGTTGCTATTCATATACGTATTACTATTATTGCTATGAATGGTCTTGTTTACTTAAAAATACGCAATGGATCTGTGGATGGTGACATTTCTCCAGAGAGTTTGGGATGCTTTTATCTCAGCAGACTCTCTGTTCTGCTCAGTTCCAGCATATTACCTAAAAATTACATATTTTCAGAGAATATTAATATTATATAACTTTGAATTTCAATTTCTTATTCATTATACATTTTTAAGATTTATAAATCATCTTAGATTATAGCTATAGATATTGATTTCTCTAGATCTTAAAATAGTATAGATATAATAAATAGATGAATGCTACTTTTATTTATAAAGGGCCTGTTCGGTGCGTCCGTGTGTACTCATTCTTTTTGTACGGATCTCCACTTTTTTTAAAAAGTATGGCCCCAATCTCATGACTGTTCGGTGGGCAGAGCATCTGTACTAATAGTACCGCTGCTTTTTACAAAGTACAGATGAAAAAGGCCAGGTGTTCAGTGGATTGAGCAGCTGTACTTGCATCTTTTGCCAAGATCTTATGAATAAGCCATATTTAACTTCAACGGCGTGTGATGGTGTAGAATAGCACTTTTAGAGGCAATATAGTGTAGAATAGTGTTCATAGTGGAGGCAGTTAACTAATATTGGTTAGGAAGAAGCTTACAAAACACATTCTTTTTGAACAGACTCCAGAGTCTGTTCAAAAAGAATGTGTTTTGTAAGCTTCTTCTTTCTCCATCCCATCCTACAGAAGAATATTGTCAGCAAAGATCATCAAGATGGCGCAACGCCGGCTTGCTACTAAATAATTGGTAAATACGCTATTTTTAATGAGATCCACTATTGCGTTCAAAAAGTACGGACGCACCGAACAGGCCCTAATTGAAACAAGCATCAAATGCTCGCTTACGCTCGCTTTGCTGCTTGGCGCAGCCCCCTCTACCACTTCCACTACTTCCACCCCCTACCTCTACCCCCCTTACCACCTCTACCACCCCTACCACCTCTACCACTCCTACCACTCCTACCACTCCTACCACCCCTACCACCCCTACCACCCCTACCACCCGGCAACCCCCCCCTATCACTTCCACTCTCTACCTCTACTCACTCTTACCACTCCTTCCACTCCTTTCACTCTCTATTCTCTCTATCACCATCATCATCTCTACTCCTTCTACTACTCTCTTCCACTCTGTATCATCTCTATCACCATTATCAGATTAATCAGAGCTGTACAGACTGCAGAGCCAGCTATTCAATCTCATTCATGAATTCAAAGAGATGCACATGACATCACATGAGACTTTATTACAGAGTACTTAGCAGTAACTATATACTATAAACACAGAGATCAAAATGTGGTAGAGATAGTAAGAGAGGAGTAGAGATAGTGAAAGTGATAGAAGAGACTGCAGAGCAGTAGAGATAGTGGTGGTGATAGAGAGGCTAGAGGGTGGAAAAGGTGATAGAGAGAGGTGATAGAGAGAGGTGATAGAGAGAGGTGATAGAGAGAGGTGATAGAGACAGTGATGGTGATAGAGATGGTAAGAGAGGGGTAGAATGGTAAGATGAGAGTAGAGATAGAGAGTGGAAGTGATAGAGAGTGCTGTGAGGCGGTAGAGGCAGTGATGGTGGTAGAGAGGGTAGAGGTGGAAGGGGTGGTAGGGGTGGTAAGAGAGTGAGTGGTAAGATGGGAGTAGAGGTATGAAGTGGAAGTGATAGAGGAGAGGCTGCGGGGCGGTAGAGGCAGTAGTGGTGGTAGAGGGGGTAGGAGTGATAGGAGCAATTGCTAGGACAATGCCACTGAGCAGGCGTCACTACATATCCATGGATTTTTTGTAGGCTACTGGGGCAAAAGAGCTCAGTCACCACCAGCGCACTGCTGGTAGAGGGCCGATCAACCCCCGGGAACCCCCAACAGAGAGATATAGAGAGATTTAGCTTATTGTCTATTTTGGTTTAGCTTCAAAGAGTGACTAATCATCAATTCAACTGTTAAAACAGCAATGGGCTGTGCAGCGGCTGAGCCTGCTGAGATAAGGATGCTTCAAGGAACCAGGGGTTACATCATGTGACCTTGAGTTAATTCAGCAACCTTATGTGGCCCTAAACCATAGTAGGTTAAGTTAAATGGGTGGTTGCCTGATGAGCCGCCTCTCGCGTCGTTCCAGAAAAGGGAAAACCGCGTCATTGCAATATATATCCCACCCTCAGAACTCTCAACTCTACAACACATCAGCAGCGTCAATTTCTTCACTTGAGCCCTTGCAATCCCCTTCTCATCACTCTTCGTGGACAACACCAACAGCACGTGGTATTCTCCTCTCATAATGAACTCCTCCCACCTACCTGCAGCCCATGTCCGATGCACACTTTCGGACAAAGCCAACCAAAAACAGCAACCCTCGATTGCAACCTGCTAGTTCAATCTAGCTCTGCCCCTCGCTTTCTTCGACAGAAATCTCCAAGGGAGCGTTTCTCCATTGTTTATCTTCTTTCATATCTTACCTTTCTTTCAAAAAAACTCGACTCTTTAAGGACCTTGGGATTGAACCTGCCATAAAGATGGGCTACTTCTCAAGTTTCCGCCAATCCTTCTCGTCCTTCCTGGCCCCTCAGAAATCCCCTCTCGAACGACCGCCATCACAAACTGGTCTGCCCACGCCTAGCGCAGTCGAGCCGCGTGCGCAATCATTTTCAGAAGTCTTACAACACCGTTCAATGAGCCCTACGTCCAAAATGCAGGATTGGCTTTCATGCACCGCGTCCAGCCAATTCGATGGAAGAAGTGGAGAGGGAAGCGAGTCTGTAAATCGACGAGGGAAAATGGCATTCCATCCTTCCATGATGAGAGGAATCGTGGAGACACCCCGGGACGCGTACAGGAACTTTGTGCAACTTCCCACTCCGGCTGAGTCCGGGTCGAAGAGGAAATTGACGTTTGATCGTAGTTACGCTCAAGCGGAGAATCAAATCAGTGCCCATGAGGATGATCTGGAGGGAGATACGCTTGTGGTGGGTGAAGCTACTCCAGCTAAACGACGACGGGTTCGTGAGGGCATGATATATATGGGCGAACGAGAGACTATGGAAGTACAGCTGTTTGAGGGTGATACTCTTGGTGTGGAAGATACTGAGGCAATGACGGGCTCAGGAGCTGAAAGCGAAGCTGAAAGCGAAGCTGAAGATTCAGATATAGTCAATGAAGAGTCTACATTGAGCGATAATGAAGACGCGGCGTCCCTGGTTGCCTCGGATGATTTTGGAACTGATGGTGATGAGGTACTGCTAGTCCCTCCGCATCCACGTAAGGCGAACCGTGGCTCGAAAATCTCGCGTGACATAGACGATGTTTACCGCCCTTCGTCAACGGCTGTGGACAAGAACCTGAATCGGGACCCGAGCATGGAAAACGACCTAAGTGAAGATGAAGTTGTCGGGAAGTCGCACGTTGTGAGCAAAAATGAGAGGAAGGAAGTGGCATTTGATTTCTCTGTGGAGAGAGCAGAACGCTGGGTTGCTGCTATCAAGTTGCCGAAGGGGCACTGGGCGGAAGCGGAGAAGGACCTCTTCTATCGCCTTGCAATGCGAGGATTCGAACCTCTCGTGCCTAGCAATTGGCAATTGGATTTCAGCACCCTTCCCGAATCGCTGCTTGGTCACCCAGAGGATATCACCCCTCCTTATATCGATGCGATTGGTGCATCGGAGTTTCGTGGTAAGTGTATTCGTAAGAGAAACTTTATGGCATACAGCCGTTTTGTCACCAACGACTCAAACTAACAGTATGTCAGCTATCAACGCCCTTAGCGATCTCTTTGAACTTGGAAGTCAAGTCAGGGACCGCCAATCGGTCTACCTTCGGCCCGAGCCAGTTATCCGTCGCGCCATCACGGGTTATATCAAATGGGCCTTGTACGATTCTAACCTCCTCAATCGTCCAAATGCAATCCCCATATACGCAATATATTCTCTTAAACCATCCGAGTCCACTCGCGATGCCCTTCAAATCCTAAACCAACGGTTAGTCATGTTGGCGAACCGTTACCGCGAAGCCTGGCGATTAACGCCTAGTATCGAGACCAGCTTCAATGGAAAAACCAACGACGCCGAGAATAACGAAAGTGGTCAATGCGACAGCATCAACCAATATGCGACTCGCCCATTCCCAGTTATAACCGGATTCCTGATCTGCGGGCCCATCGTTGCACTTCTCACCCTGAACTCGGACCCGCAGGTGCATCCCGTCTTGGACTCAATGTTTTCCGCCAAATTCATCTCGCAGTTTGATTTTAGCGAGATTGCGCAAGATGTGTGGAATTCGTTCGCTGTTGCCATTGCTGTTGTTCGGATGCGAAAGACGATGGCTCAGTTGGAAGCGGAAGGAAAAGGGGATGTTATGTGGATGACTGGCGACGAGGCCCGTTCGGGGGACCCGGATCTCTAGGCATCTCGTCAACTTGATGTCGAAGGCTATGAGTATAGTTTTCCCGGGATGGTTAATTGGTGTCATTCAGATGGGTGGTTGTGCCATTGATGGACCACTGATGGCGGTTGTGGTACTGCTGCTGCGTACTAAATAATCGGGCCCAATTTTCCATCTGCTTGAGCTGTTGCTTTTCTTCTCTTTTTTTTTTCCCTTTTGTTTGTTTTTATGCAATATATGTTTTACGAATTGTACGTGCTTATGATGGAAGATATTGAAACCAATACTCACGCTGGCATGGAACTGGGAGATACCCTTTTTGTTTATACCCCTTAGTTCTTTCTGGCGTCCTTTGCTCTGTAGATTATCCGATTGCTGAATTTATTCCCTTGAATTTACTTCTCTTTTCGCAGTATTCTTCTCAAGCATAGGATCCATTTTGAACACATTTGATGACGGTGAGTTATTTAGAAAATCATCGCACCTGGTGATGTTGATCACGTGCAGTCAATGTCAACACCAGCAACCTCTGTAGGCTACTGGGAACCCCTACGGAGTTACTCTTAGAATGAAGTAGAAGAGGAGGACAGAGTGACTTGAGAATAAGAATGGACGCCCCTCAGGACAGAGATATTAAACTTCAACGTGCTTCTAGTGATTTAATACGAGAGACTAGATCAAAACTTTCCCCACTCCTCTGGAAATCGCGGCCTCATGGCAATCACAATGCCAGCAGCCGTCAAGTACACCGTCTGGCGCAAACTCGCAAGGCATTAAAACTAATAGATCTCGTAAGTCTACAACTCCCCTTATCGAATTAATTGTGTATATATGTATATGGATATATAAGCTATGAACTGTTCTAACTTTTTCTTGCATGGGCTTGTGGCCTTTTCCGCATGTTCGAGATATTAGTTGGAGCCATTTCAAGAGTGGCCACAACTTCTAGATCCCTATCTGCAAGAAGTACTTTCAAATTTAGTCGATGCATTCTTAGAATATCTGACAGTTCACCGAGATCAATATGTGCTTGCGTCATCGAAAGCTTCGGTGCAGAAAAGAGCCGAAAGTGGAGGTCTCATCCCTCTACCCAGAGCAATATGCATGCTCCTATATACGCTCTGCAAAATTCGCGGCGTCAAAGTCATCAGCCGGTTTCTGAACAATGAACCAAAGTACCTGGAAGTCATGTTGCGTGCGTTTATTGAGTGGGACAGCAGTGCTACCACGGCAGAAGCAGCCCCCACCGAAACCGCGGGTACGAAAGCTCAGCCCAAGACGTTGATTTGGGAAGAGAGATATATAATGCTTCTTTGGCTCTCTCATCTGCTCCTTGCACCGTTCGATCTGGCGTCGATTTCATCAAAGACCTTACCAGTGCCATATGATAATCTTTCTGTTGTGCCTGATCTGTCACCCGATATTCCCCGCGTGTCTATTTCGATTCTTTCGATATGTCTTAAGTATGTTGTGCTTCCTGGTAAGGAGCGGGAGGCGGCGACCGTATTGTTGGCGAGGCTTGCTCTGCGGGTAGATATGCAGCGACTGGGACTTTTGAGCTCTCTCATGCGGTGGGCGCTGGATATTCTACGCCCAACGGCTGAAAGTACCGCGCCGCCGCCAGTGTATACCTGTATCGGAGTGCTTTCGTTTATCTCTAGGCTTGGGGTTTCTGGGCAAGTTGGGGATTTAGCGCCATTCATCGTGCCGATATTTAATGGGATCCTGCAAATATCTGAGGGAGAGTCGCCTCTTGCTGAGACAATTAGGTCCTCTGCATCTGCCAGGAAGTCGATGATAAAAATTCTGCGGACTATCACGACTCTAGTGATATCTCTAGACGAGAGCTCTGGACGCCACCAAATTCCGGAAGATACGGTGTCGATGATTCTGGAGAACGCAATCGATTACTTCCTGGTCTCTCTCGCTGATAAAGACACACCGGTACGATTTGCAGCGAGCAAGGCACTTAGCATGATAACCGTCAGACTCGATCCGAGCATGACGTCTGATGTCATAGAAGCAGTCCTTGGTTCTCTAGATGAGAATATTCTCTATGAGAAGCAGGATGGCACACTAATAACACCGTTCGAAGCCCAGAACGTCGACGTCAAGTTGAGGAAACGTAACATAAGTGCCGTAGACCCTCAACGGTGGCAGGGTCTTATCCTCACTCTTGCGCATTTACTATTTCGCCGCTCGCCACCAACTTCTCTACTTCCCAGTGTGCTTCAATCACTCGTGTCTGGACTAGACTTTGAGCAACGGTCATCGACGGGAAGTTCTATCGGAACTAGTGTTAGAGACGCTTCGTGCTTTGGAATTTGGGCCTTATCTCGAAAGTACACGACAAGTGAACTACTAGACCTAGACTCCCAGGAGCTGAAAGTAACGACAAACCAGGAGGGCGGGAGCACATTGCAGGCCCTTGCAATAGAGCTTGTCTGTGCCGCATGTTTGGATCCTTCGGGGAATATTCGACGAGGTGCTTCTGCAGCACTGCAGGAACTTATTGGTCGCCATCCCGATACTATTTTTGAAGGTATCCCCTTGGTTCAGGCTGTTGATTATCATTCCGTTGCTCGCAGGTCGAGGGCGATGATTGAGGTTGCCAAGGGTGCTTCAGATATAGGAATTGTTTACTGGAACCCCCTCGTGAATGGCCTTCTACGATGGAGAGGTATCGGCTCTCCTGACGCTGAATCGCGACGGGTGGCCGCTCGCGCCCTCGGAGATTTAAGCCTTCAGGAATCGTATAAAAGCTTAAGCGTAGTGCTTGAACGGCTTGTGGAACAATTGTCTACGACGCCATTACAGGCTGTTGAGGCAAGACATGGTCTATTTTTATCTATTGCTGCTACTATTGATGCATTCATCACTCATAGAAAAAATGGGAGTGGCACAACATATGCACCTGAGTATACCAAAAAGCTCAAGGATCAAATTACAGTCCTTTGGGGCGTTGTCTTCGATTCCGCTATAGCTCCCACGCCAGAAGTCCTGACGGATCCTACAATGCGACCCGACCTCACTGCTGAGGCTTGTGCGCGCCTTATCTCTTCTCTTTCTCGCTCCTGCGCCCCGGAGGAGCAACAAAATAATGTACACCCCACGCTCTCTTATCCGTCTTTTCGATTGCTCGATAGAGCCATTGAAATCTTGCTTCTATGTATGTGTCGACCAGACGATATCCCGATTGAAGCTTCATCGCAAGCGGCATCAGACTTGTTCATGCTACTTCCTAACTCTAGGAAATCGGAAGTTGTGCAAAAGTGGTTCAGTAATATCCACGATAGCTGGCGGTTGGTAACTGGGCGTGGGCAAATTGCGGCGTTAGGTGCGGTTTTCAAACGAATGCCGAAATCTGGGGAGGGGAGGCAGTTCATTATAGATAAGCTCATCGATTGTACTGGGGCAGAAGAGAAAATTGCTAAACGGTCGTCAGCTGTGAACTGTCTTGCTACTGGTGTGTTGCCGGAGATAGGTATGATAATAATATTCTTTTCATTGACGTTAAAAGCTAGCTTTTGGCTAACATGTTGCGATACGGCAGATGATGTGGAACCTATTTCTGGGCACTTCAAGGACTTTCTTAACGATTATACGACGGACAGAAGAGGGGACGTTGGTTCGTTCATTAGGCTTGAAGCAATAGAGGCTGTCAATATCATTATTGAATCGAAGGTGCCACCTGGCCCAACACCCATGTACCTGAAGGACTTGATGGGCTGTGTTGTACGCCTTGCAGCAGAAAAGCTTGACAAAGTTCGCTTTCACGCTTGGAATTGCCTACAGACTTTCTGGGAGATATCCACAGACTTGCCTCCATTAGCACAGTAAGTCATCCCAAGAGTCTCGAAAAAAAAAAAAAAAAAAAAAAAAAAATATATATATATATAATGGCTCTAACGAAGTCCTAGAAAATACGAACATTTCAGCGAAGTCTCCTCGGCAGACTATTTTTTACAGCTTTTCAGCCTACTCCAAGTTGAGTGGCTGCGTCATTCTCTTTCGAGAGGCCTGGTAACCTCCGCTACTACAGGCACTGAGGTAGTAGTTCGATCCGCCCGCGTCGCACTTTTGCAATACATCAACAACCATGATGAGCAGCGGAGGAACATTATATGCGTTAAACTTATAGAGGATTGGCTATCGATACTGGAGAGCGATAACGATGACGACCGTTACGCCATCCCTGTTGTGGAAATGACTGCGTTTTTGCTCGATAATTGCTTCTTACATAATTCCCCGGATCCAAATATGAAGTGAGTATTTTCACCTTATATCGAGGTTGCAACGGTGGTATGACTAATTTTTTCTTGTTTTTTCAACCTCAACAGCTATCACAAACTCTTTGTTCTGGTTCAAAAGTTCCATTTTAAATCGGCCAATATGGCCCGGATTGAAGCTGCAATAAAGATATACTCACTCCTGTGGAGGATGGGTGTTATCAAGGGAGATGCCATGAAGAAGCTGACAGGAATGCTCCTGCATCCGTATCCGAAGGTAAAATTCCTCTGCTAATTTCTATTTCCTCTTTCTTCTGATCGCTACTTTTCTCCCACTAACCAAATATAGATCCGCACCATTGCCGCGGACTGTTTATATATGGAGAGCCACGTCGAGGAGATGAAGGGTGAAGACTGGTCAAGCCCTCCAGAGCAATTGAAGGCGAAGGTTGATAATTTACGTGTGGTTCTCACTTCTTAGGTGATAGCTTAGGATATATATAGCTGGGTATAAATAGATATTACAAAAATATAATGATTATTTTACGATGTTTCCGCGTTCACGAGGACGGCCAGGGAAGATATATATGTATGTATTGTAGGACCCCAGGGCGAAAACGCTTGATCACCGCCAGCCTTGACTGGTAAGTTATGTCAACATGTATAATATTATACCAATTAAATGTGAAATTTACTGGCAACTAGTTTGATTGTGAGGACCTCAGATATATATTTTTGAACCCAACCCAGTCTTATTGTACTGTACAATTCAAAGTAGTGTTTTGCACCACA